TGGGGACCTTATTGTAATATACCCAAAGCCATATTCTATCTACTTAAGGGGGCCAAAACCCAAAACCATTGAGAAGCCCAGCTGCTGTGCCCTCCGCTCAAGCAAATCAAACAGAATATCCAGTCCTGGAAAAGGCATCAGTTTAGGGGTTGTGGTCTCGGATTTACTTACTGACCTACTAGTGGACTGGTGGTTGGTACGGAATAAGGGACTACAATCCCTATAGAATCCCTCATAACATGTTCCTATATTCCCTACTAACCTCAAACCCTCAAACGTATACATATATATATATATGTAGATATGTATTTTCCAATATTCCCTACTAACCCCAGTAAGTTTAGGGTTCAGGAGCGCGATGTTTGGGATGAGGGATTCAGGCTTGGTTCTTCGGGTGTAACAGATAGGCTGAGGTCCCGGTCATTGATGCGATCAAAACAAAGGTTCGTTGTTAAAGCAAACTCCTTGTGGTCATTTCCCTACATGAAGACATGCTCAGGTGGAGAAAGTTGCCAGGTAGGAACCCCGAGAAGGCTTCCTTACAATGATGACCTAATCAAAGTTCTTTATATCCCAAAAGACCCCGAAGATAAGGTATTAAGTCCCTACATAACCCTAAGATATCCCAAGATATCCCCAGTTTCTGCTTACATGTCCAACTTCTTTTCTGAGGTTCTGAACAACCCTAAAACCTTAACCCTATATCCTAAACCCTGAATCCTAAACCCTAAACCCTGAATCCTAAACCCTAAACCCTGAGCCCTGCAGCCCTAAAGCTCTTTGATCCAAGGCGCGTCCGTCCCCAAAGAGCAACTTCCACTTGAGGGCTCGCTTCAAGTAGCCTTGGGGTTAGGGTTTAGGGTTTCGGGTTTAGGTTGATGGTTTTAGGATTCAGGATTAATTTGGGGCTTCCAGACATTCGGAACTTTTTCGAAACCCCCAAGATCAAGATTGGCTTAGTGTACTGGAGTTTATTTGGGGGCGACTACTTATGAAAACCCTCATTTGGGCCTCGACTGGGCAGTTTGCAGGGATTGCAGCTGCTTAGGGTCTTGGGTCGGGGTTAACGCTTTGGTGCGTTTAATCTTTTCATCTTTTAGTTTTAGCACTTGGATGCTGGGCTTTTCAGGGCTGGAAGAAGCACGGGCTGTGTATGTTACTGCTTCGAAGTTCAAGGTAGCTATAGCCCAAATATACCCACCTGGAACTTATAATCCAATTGTAAACATATTACGGGACTTCAGAGCCTGGTAATTAGTAATTGAATTATAAATGCAATTGCAAGTGCGTTATGATTATATACCCTGAACCCCCAAGAGGTCTTTGGAGCTTTTGGATTTCTACCGGTGTCCTTGGTCAGGCTTGTGGTACAGGTAGTTCAAGCTCTTTGCACGAACTTTACCAAGCCTCAGCATAGAAAAATGCAAAGTTGCACCAAACTTCCGCAGAAATCTCTTCCCAGTTGTACTTGCACGTATAACCCAACTACAAGGCCCTTAAGTCCCCTAATATGCTTACAAGTTACAACTGGTTTAGAAGCGCTGAAGTTTACATAGGATTTCCTAGATCTCGATGCTGCGAAGCCAACCCATTGCCTCAATAATTTCGGCGAAAACTCTTCACCTGAAATCTCAACTGTTTAGGGTTTCAGGCATGTAGTCCCCCTTAAGTATATGGGGCTTAGGGTTTAGGGTGCTATCAATGATTCTTGTGCTGCGGGCGTGGGACAACTTGAGCATTTGCTTACACCCAGCCGCCTCGACCCTTAACCCTGTGGAGGAATTCCCTGACTGAATCTTCCACGGCACCATGTGCAAAAACAATTCCAGCTGTTTATTGACGGCCGTAAGGTTGAGGGACAATAAACAGAAGCTGGAAACTTTTTCCAGGACATCCCCAGTATATGAAAGACTAGGTCTCTGGCGCCGGCGCTCTACATCTGGAACCCTGAGCCAGCCGAACAAGTCAGACCCTCTAAAAGAATCCAAAGCACGGAACTTCCCAATAATCCCTAATTATTTACCCAATGTATCAACGGGCTCATTTTGTGTGTGGGGGGGCAGGCCATTTGTTGGATCCTGTTGGGGTTTGGGAATCTTGCTGCGTACAAGTTGCTCCCTTTCCTTAGGACAGCAGACTGCTTTGAAAAACAGATCGCAAAGAATTCAATGCGCTCTCCCCCTTGCAAACATGGAACCCAATGTTGCCACCTTGTCAAGGGATGGCGTGTATCTAGGCTTCTTTTCTGGTGTTCCATCTTAGTTTTGCGAACGCAACACCCTAAATCATTCACTGATGCGTACAATTCTTGGGCAGCTGTGGCTCAGAAGCAGGAAGAGGGCAGAAGCATAGATTCACCATCGAGTTTATATGGAAGTTATAATGCCCGAACCCACTGGAATACATAATCCGTATATGACCCATATAGAACTCCTGTAAACAGGCCCCTTGAAGCCTACCCCACTTAAGAGGACCAAGAAGAAGCTTCACCCACAATACCCTTCAGGAAAAAACTTTTTATAATCTGTAGAATCTGTACTTAAGCCCGAAACCTACCCCCCACCCCAACCTTTAGATCAACCCCCTTTGACCTTTACACGTTCAAAGGGAACCCAAGCTTGTCCAACAATCCTAAACCCCTAATCCTAAACATTAAACCCTAAACAATCCAACCTGGGAGTGCATTACCAAATAAGGTTTAGGGCTGAAGGGTTTAGGGTTTGAGGCTTAGGGCTTCAGGGTTTAGGGTTTAAGGTTTAGGGATTTAGGGTTTAAAGTTTAAGGCTTAGAGTTTTGGGTTTAGTGGTGTTAGGGTTGATGCTTTAGGGTTTAGGGCTGGCAGGTTTAGGGTTTAAGGTTCAGGTTTAGGGTTTCCCGAGTATTTACCAATAAAGGGAGAACCAAAGCGAAAAGAAATTCCACAATAAAAGTGAACCCTCTGTTTCTAAGGGTTTATTAAGGGATGATGTACTGTAGGGTCAACATTAAATTCAACAGCATTTTGACATGTACTCGAGGTACCCTTCACCGCAATCATACACGGAATCTAGGACCATAATATGTGCAACTATACCTATAACCCCTACACTAAAGCCCGGGACCCCAAATTCAAAGATCCTAAGCCCTAAACCCCTAAAGCACCCGAAGAGTGAGCCCACAAACAAGCCAAACTGATCCTACCCCGCTTGAATGCTAGGAGACCATTTCGTTACATGTTCCCACTTTCGGATTTTGAGTTTAGGGTTTAGGGATAAACCCCTCTGTTTTATGGTCCTTAATATTCGGACCCCTATTATGCTCCCTATTAAAGGGAGGGAGTTTATTATGTAATCACGGGTCTACATTACGTGTTCCCAATTTAGCGCAACATAGCCAGTAAACGTGGCTTTCCAGGTAACCGTTACCCTTCCAAACATCTGAACCCTAAGCACCTAAACCCTAAGACCTATGCGGTAATTTGCCTAAACCCTAAACCCCTAAACCCTTTCCAGGCAAGCAACCTTTGACTCCCGTAAAACCATCCCCCCACTGTTCGCATGCTGGCCGGGTTGCTCAGCGAAGCCTTTTCGGACCATAGCGGTTGCAGCCTGCTTCCTTGAGGAACAGATGAGTTTCGGGCTGAGGGGCGGCACAGGAGTGTAGGGTTTAGGGCGAAACCCTAAACCCTAAAATGGGTTCAGAGGTTTAGGGCTTGGAGGCCTGGCTTTTGGCTTGGGGGTTTAAGGTTTAGGATTTAGGTTTTAGGGTTCTGGGGGTTTATCGTTTAGGTTTTGGAGTTTAGTAGAGTATTGGGCTGCGTGGGTTGGACGATCTGGCTTTACCTTTAAAGGTGGAAGTTCAGGGCACATGGTACAGCTTAAACTAGCAAATGCTTTAGAGCCTTAGTTTGAAAGCCGACCTTTGGGACGTGTTGGATGGTCCTAACACTGGTATCCGCAAATTCAGTACTACTCACCTGTAAACTGAACTAGGCCCTCAAAGTTTATAGCTTAAGGATTAGATTAGGGCTGAAGCTTTCTGGCCTAGGGTTTCTGACTTGGGTATTGAGCTCTGGGCTTGGGCTTAGGGATCATGGTTTACTTCAGGGTTTAAGGTTACCAATATCATTCTGAGGTTTTTGGGAGGGACCCCAGTACCAGAATTCTGCTAAGATCCCGGGACCATAATATTTAGAGTTCTCCCTCTGAGCCCCTGTCTAACCGCAGTCTCCATTTCATTGGCCACTTCCTTTTCCGTCTGATTCTCCGCTATTGCGAGAATATCCGTAAGCTCTATACGTCCTATAGCTCCCTTAAAGGGACCCAACCATTCGTAAGTATTTAGGCCCCTAAACCCTAAGCCCTAAATCCTATACCCTCTGCCCCATACCCTAAACCCTGGAGCCTATACCCCAAACCCTAAACCCTAAACCCTAAATCCCTAAACCCCAAACCCTAAATCCCTAAACCCCAAACCCCAAACCCCAAACCCCCAAAACCGCAAACCCTAAATCCCTAAACCCTAAACCCCCAAAACCCCTAGGCTGAATCCCTTATTAGGACGCCAAGGTTCAGTGCCGGCACCCAGAATTCAGGCAGTCCCGGCATCCGGGGTGGCGCGTCATTGTGCATGATCTGTTCAGCGGCTTAGGGCTGAAGGCTTAGGCATTGGGTTTATATGGGGATACTGGAAACTGGAAACGACTAGAATGGGTTGGATGGGGTTTAGGGTTTATGATATGGGGCTTAGGGTTTAGGGCAGGGCTTATATAGAGGCAATAGAAAACAAATTGCAATTACTGCACGATCTAGGGTTTGGCGGTTTCTCCCCTTAAAGTAGAGATCACACGGAGTAGTAGGAATTGTAATGGCCCCTTGCATCAACTCCTTCAACAGTTACTATCTGGTGGAAAGACCCATATGATCTGGGAGTTTCCAGGGGTTACTTGGGGGTCCTACAGGTAGTGCTCTATGGAGTTGCTTGTTGTGGGAGAGTTTTTTCGTGTGATCATTTCGAGAAACTCTATTGGACTCCCTTATGACCCCCTTGAATACGGTAAGTTCAGGATAATTCTCAATGATTTAGGGGGATGATGTAGGGTGTAGGGTTTTGGGTAAGCAGTAGTAGGGGAACCCATGAAACTCCCTTTGTGGATAGATGGCTCAGGTTAGGATGGCTTCGTCTTTCCCATCCCAGCTGAAAAATCCCAAACATTGGAACCTCCCAGGGGATCCTCGATGTAGCCATGGGGTCAGGAGGGGTCCATTTATTGAACCCTTTTCTATTTTGCAGGTGCTGTAGTCTATGGCTACAATTATGGATTTAGGAAGTTTGGGTGAAGGGCTTAGCATGTCGAATCTTATGGTAACACCGCCATAACTTCCTAAACTTCAAGCCCGAGCCCTCTACCCAACACCCTAAACCCTAAACCCCTAAGCCCTGAAGCCCTAAACCCCTAAGCCCTAAACCCAAAACCCCTAAGACCTAAACCCAAGACCGAGTGGGTCTCGGAGCTTAGAGTCGGTGGGCGATGAGTGGCAGGGTCTTGAAGTTCGTGTAGTTTGTATGGCTTGGGGTATAGTCCCCCTTAAGTAGATAGAATATGGGGTATATGGAAACCGTATTGTAATATACCCGAAGCCATATTTCTAGCTACTTAAGGGCGCTATAGGGTTTAGACTTCTTCCTCCACACTAACATGGCGCTGGAAAGACTTCTCTCTACCCCAATGTGACCCTGTGGCTCCTCTCTTTCGGGACCTCCTAAACCCCAAACCCCTAAACCCTAAGCCCCTAAACCGTTCCGAGACCCTCTTTTTCAAGCCGGGAGTACTAAAGCCCTGCAACCCTGTTGTGAGTGAGCCTTGAGCACGAGTTACTTGAGTATGAGCCAGAAACCCCTGTATTGTGCACAGTTCAGGAATTGAGGCTCACCCTCTTCCAAAATTTAATCCTTCTTCCTATAGGAAGGGGACAAGTTCCTTCATGGCGTTACATAGGGATATGCGTGCTCCTACAGGTATAAAGGATTTTCAGGGTGGACCCAGAAAACTTTTTTATGCTGAAAAATACCCCTGAGGCCAAAGAGCATAGTTCACGCTGCTTCTGTATAGCTCGTCCAAGACCGATTGGGTGGCCTTCGTCACAAGCTTGCTTGGGAGGCTCTTTTCAGCTACCGTAGTAAGTCTACTTGGCTGAGACTGGGGGTTATGGGGGATAGTAAGTAGATTACTAAGATACAGAGCCTCTAAGGACTGGTGGTTCGTAGGGAAGGAAGGATATAGCCAAATAGGGACCATCACCATGAGGTTTGTAGGGGGGTTTCCATAGATACAGGCCCCAGTATAGACTCCAATACAATGGAACGACCCACGGTTTTTGATTACGTTCCACCCAGTTGGGCACCCAAGAAATACAGTTACCAATATTCCTAAGAAACCCTTGACACACTCACCAAACACAATGTGTCATTTTACTGCTACTACCGGGATACTCCCTCCAATTCCTCTACCCGTCTTTTCGAGCCCCCATCCATCATGGAGTGGAAGATGAGGGAACTTGGTTTAGGGATTAGGGCCACGGGGTCCCTGTAATCGACTCCCCTACTATTAAATACTCCCCCTTTTGGTATATTATCGTATATAGGGAGTATTTAATATGAGGGGAGTGGGGGACTGTAATATTAGGGGGAGGGGATTGCTCGGGTTTAGAGTTTGGGGCTTAGGGTTTAGGGTTTAAGGTTTAGGGTTTGGGGTACGCCGTTTTGGCCTCAAATGAGCATGTGGCATCTTCCACGGTCTGCACCCAACCAACCTATTGAAATCTTTGCGTTTCTTGTATGCGAGGTTTTCAAAGTAATCAGGGGACCCCCTGTACCTATAGGTCTCTCTTTGTGCACGCCTCCCCCATTTCCGCAACCCACTAAAAGCCTCCCTACGTTCCCCCCCAAGGCCTCCATTTTGAGAAGCCCACATATCTAAAAGCCACCAAGTAATTCTTAAAAGTCATCAGAGCCCTGGGACCTGAACCATAAAACACTGGTTTAAGGTTTAGGGCATCCTCACATATTCCTAGAACTACATCCCTATGTACCTCCCTATCGAATGTCCCCTAAACTCTGACAGATTAAACCCTGAACTTTATGGTTTTGGAGACTTCTGGGCTCTTTAGCTCCCCTTATTATATTGATATGAGCCAAAGTCTAAACTCCTAGTATCCCCCTTAGTAACCCCTATAGTAGTCCCCTATATAATTCCCCATATATCCCCCTAGACTAGAAAGGGTAGTTATAATCCCTTACGCAACCGAACCCGAGCCTCGCTAACGTCGTCGGAAACGAAGAAAACCATCGGAGCCGCGAAGACGACACTCTGGACGACCTCAGATTCGCCATTTTGGGCTTAGGTTTCGGGGATATGGTTTAGGTTTTCGGGTTTAGGATTTAGGTTCTAGGGTTTAGGATTTAGGGTCTAGGTGTTGGGGCTTAGGTTCTAGGGTTTAGGATTTAGGGTAGAGGTTTCAGGTTTTTGGAGTATAGGATTTAAGGTTTAGGGTCTAGGTTGTAGGGTTTAGGTTCTAGGGTTTAGGATGTAGGGTTTAGGGTCTAGGTTCTAGGCTTCAGGGTCTTGGGCTTAAGGTTTAGGGTCTAGGGTTTAGGTTTTCGGGTTTTGGTTTCAGGTTTCAGGGCTCAGGTTCTAGGATTTAAGCTTTAGGTTCTAGGGTTAAGGATTTAGGGTTAGGGATACCTGTGAGGAACCCTTGCGATATCAGGGTTGTATAGCATACTGAAGCCCCTTAAGGATTATATCGGGACTAGTTTTTAGGGTCCTATCTCATACATCGACATGCAAGTTCCACTAGGAAGACGGAAGACCTTGAACCTACATATCCCTATATACCGGCCTAACATTAAACCGCCTAAACCCTGAAAACCCTAGACCACGACCCCCCTAAACCCTAAACTCCTATGCCACTAAAACAGGAACCCCACAATCCCTAAAGCCTAAATCACTTTGACCTCTAACGCCCCAAACCATGAACACCCCAAACCCTGAACCCTCTAAACCCCAAAGGCCTAAACCATGAACCCCCCAAACCCCAAACCCCCGAAACCCTTCAAACGATGAACCCCCAAAACCCCAAGCCCTCTAAAGCGCCAAAACCCTAAACCCTCAAAGCCCCTACCCTCTAAACCCTTGAAAACCTCTAAAGCCCCCCAACCCTCAAGTCTCTAAAAAAAAGCTGCTAAAAAGCTTGCCCTCTAGCTACCTTGCTACAAAACAGGTGAACCCCAATAGTCATAAAGTGCTAACGTTATCGTGAGGATACAAACCCTTAACCCTCTCCCCCCCCTCCCACGCATTTCGACCCAGACACAAGATCACTGAAGCGCCCGGCGTTTTGCTCGCCGAGAAGAGCTAGGTGAGCAATCCTCATCTGAGGATGTATAGGGTTGAAGGCTAGGGTATAGGGTTTAGGGGGGAAACCTCCAAAATTAGCATGTCTCCGGGGTTAGGGTTTAGGGCTTTTGGTCAGGGTTTAGGGGAACCCCCAAACTATCAGGTACCCCAAACCTTTATTCTCATCGCTTGAGCCCTTACACTATGCCCATGACATCTCCCAGACCCCCCTCAAGGATCAGCCAGAGGTAGGTGCACCCCAACTGCCTGGCTGTTGGCTCTCAATGTTTATTTGGCTACCTTACGAAAAACTGGCGTGGTACCTGCAAAGAAGTTCTTTCTAGGAAGTGAGCCTGTCAAAAAGAGCCTGCATGCAGTTCCATGCTTGCTCTGGCTAGGGTTTGGGATCCAGAAGTTCAGGACCCCAATGGGTCCCAAAAAGGGAACCGTGACTCAAATTGTCATCTGCTGATTCAAGAGTGTGTTGTTTGCTGAATTGAAGTGCATAAAGCAGTCAGGCTATTTTGCGGTTCACATAAGGGGACAAACGACTAAATGGTCGTCTCCGTTTTCTTTTCCACTCTCCCTATAAATAACCCCTATACAACCCCTGTATAACCCCTATATAACCCCTATAACCCATAAATGAGTTGGTATAGTAATTACAATGGAATGTCAAGTGCACAGCTCCCAGCCATAAACCTCCGGCACTGCAGTGCATGTAGCGCCCTCCCCATAATATAGTGGTTGCTCGAACCGGGGCAGCAATACAAGGAAACCCACGCCTCAAAATACGATTTAACACCCAAACCCACGATAAATATTAAAGAATTTTAAGTTGATAATTTTCACGTGTGGAATTACTGGGCGGGTTACTTTTTTTCAGAGGCTCATACCGAGCGTATATGGGGACCTCGGAGGTATGCGCGGGCTATGTATGGCTTATGGGGGAAACTGCCCACCTGAAATCTCCTCAGATACAAAGAGTGGCACATGGTCCTTGGCTCAGCAACGTATTTTTGTAGGGGTCAAAAATACCCTCCAAAGAAACGGCCCAAACTTTTGGCACACACAGAAACGGCCCTACCTTTTGGCACACGCACTTTGACGAGTCAAGAACATATTTATGGATTCTAGACGGGACTAGCCACCGCAAACCCGCACAAAACAACATGTATGAAAAACGACTGAAGATTTTGATTCCACAGACGCTGGGAACGGTACAGCGTGAAGCGAGACAAAAATGAGAATGAGAGGTAAAGCCCCCCATGCTGTCCCATGGGTGGGCAGGTTTTCCTGGAACGCAGTGGGGGAGCTTCATTGGGCAGGGTTCCCAACCCTCCCCCTGTCCCCCCACAAAATGAAACATCACAACAAGATGCAATAACAATAGCAAGCAATTTTGGAAGCGATCCCTTTCCGGTATGTACAAACAGTTTCACTCACACACGCACACACGCACACACCAAAAAAAGACTAACCCTATAAACCTCAGCCCTACTACACCCTAAACCCAAAACAAAAAGGGGAGTCCAAATCTGGGGACCCCCTCCCTATCTGATGAATTCCCGAAACACGCTGCATCCCACAGCAAGTGAATTTTGCACGGCAGACCTGTCGGTACCTTATTGCCCCAGGTCACCACAGAGCCATCTGCTAGGATGGCAGCAAATGTGCTATCAGAGGCTTGAATCTGCTGCACATTCTTCAGCTGATCTTGCGCAGCACTGCTGTCGCCACCTTGGTCAGCACTGCCCCAGGTCACCACAGAGCCATCAGCACGGATGGCAGCAAAAGCACCATAAGAGGCCTGAATCTGCTGCACGTTCCTGAGTTGATCCTGTACAGCACTGCTGTCGCCACCAAAGTCAGCATCCCCCCACGTCACTACAAAACCATCACCAAGGATGGCAGCAAAGGAGAAGACAGAGGCTTGAATCTGCTGCACGTTCTTCAGCCGAACTTGCACAGCACTGCTGTCGCCACCTTGGATGCCCCAGGTCACCACGGAGCCGTCGCTACGGATTGCAGCAAACGCCTCATAACCTGCTTGAATCTGCTTCACATGTTTGAGCTGATCTTGCACAGCATTGCTGTCGCCGCCTTGCAAAGCGTTGCCCCAGGTCACCACGGATCCATCGTCACGGATGGCAGCAAAGGCGCCATTAGAGGCTTGTATCTGTTTCACATTCCTCAGCTGATCTCTCACCGCACTGCTGTCGCCACCATGTTGTGCAAGGCCCCAGGTCACCGTGGATGAATCGCCAAGGATGGCTGCAAAAGCACCAGTAGCGGCTTGTATTCGCTGCACATTCACCAGCTGGCGTTGCACAGCCGCGCTGTCGCCACCTGCATAATCTTCGCCCCAGGTCACGACGGAGCCGTCGCTACGGATCGCAGCAAAAGCGCCATTTGAGGCCTGAATCTGCTGCACATTTTTCAGCTGATCTTGCACAGCACTGCTGTTGCCACCTTGGCGGGAGTTGCCCCAGGTCACCACAGATCCATCGTCAAGGATGGCAGCAAAGGCACCATTAGAGGCTTGTATCTGCTTTACATTCCTAAGTTGATCTTTCACCGCACTGCTGTCGCCACCTTGGACGACATTGCCCCAAGTCACCACAGAGCCATCACCAAGGATAGCAGCAAAGGCCTGATGGGAGGCTTGAATCTGCTCCACATTTGTGAGCGGATCTGGCAAGGCAGCAAGGCCGTAGTCACCTTGGGCGGCATTCCTCCAAGTCACCACAGATGCATTGCCCAAGACAGCCGCGAATGCTCCGCCTTTTCTTAAAGGCCGTATCATCACTGGCCGTACCTGCATTGTCAAGACATCGCCAGTCTGTAAGTCGCATTCTCTGATGGTCCTGGCTCCGTGCAGCACCGATCCATTGGAGTGAATAAGCATACCCTGGCCAATTGACAGCGCTTCTTGTGCACGTTGCTTGAAATTCTCAATACCAACATCCCATCCGGTTTCAACAGAAACGGTCCTGCCACTCAGCAGGCTCACAAAGAGTGTGATCGACATGGCACAGTCTCAGCCCCAGCTCCAATGCTTTGGAATGTGCTGCAGCTGCCAAGGAGAAGGATCAGGCGTTGTCAAGGTACATCCCTTAACCCTAAGCCGCACATCATCACCGTTACAGAAGTGGCTCTGCACAACACCAGGATAGTCTTTCCCTGTGACTTTGTTTTAAGCATGCAAAGCCAAAACCAACCATTTTCCAGCACTTGGCTCGATCTAGAAGCATTGCATTTTCCAGAGCCCTAACAACCCCAAACCCTGGACCCCAAACCCTAAACCCCAAGCCTAAACCCTAAACCCCAAGCCCTAGAACCCAACAGAGCCCTGACGCAAAAGCCCTGCAGCCTCAACTTTGAATCCCTAATCCAGACCCGTGATTAATAAACCCCTCCCCTTAATAGGGATTATAATGGGGATCCTAACATTTGGGCCTTAAAAGGAGGGGGGTTTATTAACCATGGGTCTACATTAAGCCCCAAATCCACCACTACCCAGCTCCAAGCGTCTACGGGGGCTTCCAAAAGTTAGGGGTACCTTCAAAGGGGGTTGTAGGGGTTCTATAGGGGTAATATACAGGCTTAGACAGGGGTTATGTAGGGGTTATATGAGCCATAGTCTGGAATCCTCGTGTCCCTTCTAGTTTCCCCCTTGAGTGGTCCCATACATAGCTTCTAATCCTTAATAATTATAACCCCCTTTCAGGAGTTTAAGCTCTAGCTCATATAAGGGTATGTAAGGATTCTAAAGCAAGGCTCCCCCAGCATCCTAGGAGCACCCCGCCCCCGCCTAGTTTGCCAAAACCTCGATTAAGGTTTTGGGTTTAAGGCTTAAGGATTAGGTTGGGTACTGCCCCCCTCACTAACAGTTGGATAAGAAGTATAATATGGTTATATACAGCCCTTAATAGGACCTCTAATATAGACTGTTACTGGGGGGGGGGCAGTACCCAAGG